AATATAACTCATCAATACCCATTTGTCTCAGTCTTTTAAAATTGCGTGGTGCTCGTAAAGACAAATTATTTACCTTGAAAACAAACGGTTTAGAGGAATATATTCGTAAAATTGCATCCAAAATTTGATTCACGAGCTTTAGTTGATGTTAATTTAGCAAATATATTTAAAAAATTGTTTTTAGAATATTCAAATATACATCAGTCGCCTTCTCTGATGAAACTCTGGGATGGCTCAGGCCATGTTTATTTGTCGACTAATCAAAAATATACATTATACTATAAAGAATTTCGTCAACATTTTTATTTAGAATATAATTAATAATAAATAGTATTATATTTTATAAGAACCCAATTTGAATTTATTTTATCCGGGTGATTTTTCTATTAATTGTTTTAACTGCATCTTTTGATTTGATCCTCGTTCCTTTAAATTTTCTAGTACTGGTAGTTTATTATATAATAGCTTGATTTTGAAGGCTTTCCATCTACTGTCTTTGAAAGATGTAGGAGAAGAAAAACCAGTTCTCAAGATAACTCTACTCTATTTTATGTATTTCTTCCTCAGTGAAACAGTGTCTAAATTTGAGTTTGAGTTTGTATTATCTGATAACATGGCTAGTTTTTATAAAAAATTATTGAAAAAAGGAAGCGACATAAAAAATGGCGCTAAAAAATTTGAAACCTTTTATCAACTCCCATTTAATGTACTGCTGCTGATCTTCTTTATTCAAATTTTGTTGTACAAAGTCACATGAAATCATGCAAACATTCATAATAATGACTGTAGATGCTCAAGATGAGACAGTTAAGAGGATTAAAAATTGCTCCCTCCATCAAGACTTGCTCGTCACAATAGAATGACCGAATCAATGAAAAAATATAGTAATAGTAATAAAAATTGTTCTCCTGGTTGTGTGGCAGTTCATTTCTATAACCAGCCAGGGCTTCAACCAATTTCTTATTGATTATAATATGCTGCAATTGGTAACACATATGCTTATTTGACACCGAGTTATGGAGGGAGGGATGTTGATTTTATCAATCTCCTTATCATGCATGAATTCAGTGATATTTTTGGCTGCAAGTAGATATATAAAGAAAAATTTTTCTTCAATTTGTTTTTTTATTTTTGATCATTTAGTACTTTTAAATTTTTATAATCTTTATCATGATTTTGATCTAATTTTGTTTTTTTATCAGCAGGTTTAACATCCAACAACCTAGCATCTTTTTCAATCTTTAATCATTTATTTTCAAATGCAAGTTTTTT